TATGGATATATTTGATTAGCTCAATTGGTTAGAGCGCCAGACTGTTGTGCGGGAGGTTGAGAGTTCGAGCCCCGGCCGGACCAACACTCGAGGTCTTAAAATAACTGAGGAGAATATGCTACTTTTTTATATCATGAAATGGATAGACATTATAGTCTTCTCTGATAAGGACGAATAAACCGTAAGTCCTATCTCCTACATCTATTGGCTGGTTAAAGTTAGGCTGGGGACGTTAAAGAACCCACTCACAAGATTACTAGGATGTGGTCTGGCCTGTTTATTGGGAATTAGGGGAGGGGGCATCTTCAACTTTCTTTGATTCGTTCTAAACTGCTACAAGCAGTCTGGTAAAGTCCCCCGCACAGTGTTGTAAGCATGACCCTGAAAAACCCCATGGGGAGTGACCAGCTCAACCATCCATCCATCCATCCATGATTAGATGGATTATTTTATATTTGTGTTGTTTGTATGTTTTGTCATCAACAGATTTCTTGCTTGCAAAAGGAAGGGAATTGAATTTACATCGAAAAAGGTTGACATTTATGCAGAGAGTTGGGACATGTCGTGTGAAACTACGTCCAAGCTTTTCCGGAGAGTAATGGAAATGAAACCCCATGAAACGAAGAAGACCTTAAGCCTGAACGAGGCGAGAAACTACATAATCGCCTTGAGCAAACCCATGGGGGAAGCTGTTGAACTAATCAATATCAACTTGAAGAAGGTTAATGATGAAAAAGAGAAATGCAGAGCTTACGAAAGCGACATCAGCAGTTTTCGAGCCCAGTTAAGTTTTAAGGGGTTTGACCTTACGCTTGTGAGCCTAGAATACCCCATGATTGTCTGTGCCGGTCAAGAATGTAAGACGTATGTTAGTGTTGGTGAAGATCGTGTGATGCGCACTGTCTATAATCAGATCTGCCACGATCATTGCTTCCTTTCAGGAGTACCCGTTGAGACCATAAACAACGAGAAGCTTTCTAGTTGTCTAGCAATGCACTCTGGTCTTTGCACAAAATGTTCTCACAGCTACAAATTCCACATGCATATCACCTACAAAACTAATCTCGTAGAGAAGGAATTCTTATCCAAGCAAACACAGAGCAGCATCTTGGAGAAAGAAGGTTTGAAGTCCCAGAAAGAAGCCTTCATTCGTCTGTTGCAACGGGACATTTGGGAACTAGAAAGAGAAAAGGATTATATTTATGAAAGCGCAGGCTTTTTCGGCGTCTTTCTAAAAAGTAACGCCATGATCCCTTACAACGATTCCTTCAGCGAGTACATCGACATGCAGATCAATGATGAGAAAATGAAGGAGAAGATGATCAGAGACGACGAGAAGATCAGAAATTTGACGAAAGAAAAACAGGCCTATGAGGAGAAGAAAAAACTCCTCATCAAAACGATGGCGTCGAGCTCTCCGAGAAAGTTTGAAAATTCACACATAAAGGAAATCTACACAAGAAAAGAAAAACTTTGTTCTTTGAAACACAATGGAAGGATGCTGAAAGACGCTCTAGGTACGATTCTCTTTGTGTAGAATAAGAAGTTATTACATTTATGAAATTTTCACCAACCGGCGGAAAACTGAAAAACTAGTCACTATTTTCTCACTTTTCATGGAGTCAGGGAAAGGAAAGAGTCAGTTGTCTCCAAACAAAGGGAAAGGGGAACCTAAGGGGGGATTTCACAAGCAAATTCGTTTTTCTAAAATAACTTGTGATCCAAATTGCAAAGAAAAAATGGTGACCAGGTAAGCGTTTGCGTTAGCTTAAAATTAAAAGGGAGCTAAAAAATTTGTCTAACATAAAGATTTGTCTAATATCTTGGGGGCGTTTCTAATAAAACAATTATTCCACTCGCGCTTGTTGGATACGAGATGAATATAGTCAACTCGGCGCTACGCACCTCGTTGGCTATCTATCATCTCATATCCAACGCGCGCTCGTGGAATAATTGTTAATTATAATAAAGTTCGGATATATCGTGGGCTTTCATCGGTTGAAAGAGCTTGTATTATCAGAATGAAAAACTCGGAGCTGAGCTAAAGCTGTCACGCCTCTGCCAATTTGTACAATTGCCAACACTTTCCTTGACATCTCTCTAGCTTTCGTTATTTGAAACTGAGCGAAATTTATTAAACAAGTGGGCCGGCAAGTAGCAATATAAGAACCAAACGAAGCTTTATAAACATGCCAAGCAAGAGAAAACGAAATGGATTGTCCGAGCTGTGAAGGTTTCCGCGCTCAGATTTTCATGTCAGTACGGACAGTAATAAAGCTCACCATGACAGCAAGCACTCGTATAGCATACATAGCTTCGTTTAAAAAAAAAAAAAATAGAACAAAATAGGCATGATGAAAAATATAACCAAACTGGCATAACTGTTAAAAATTTATCCATACAATGATTTCAGAGTGACTGCGATCCTAGCTCGCCATGAGGATCCCCGGTCATCGCAGTAAAGCAGGCTTCGGTAATAACATCTTTGCGAACAACTTGCTCTGATATCCTTTCCGGTAGGTTGAGTGGAAACTGAGCCACATCGGTCACGGCAGCTGAGTTTTACGGACACTTTCTGTTAATTTGGCTGTCCGTCATTCACGAAAAACGCGCCTTGAGCATTTTGTTGTCTATTTTTCACGTTAAAAAAAAACTTGCTTGTTTTCATGAGCCACAATTCGGCCAGATTTCACTGAACATTTCTCTCTCCATGTGATTCTGTATTCAAATAACAAAAACTACAAGGAAAAGTGTTGAATTCAGTGGAAGCGGCCAGAACACTCAGGAAGTAAGGGGGAAACACATGACCACGTCTCGTGTTTTTCCCTACACTTCTTTCGCGCTTCAGCCGCTTCTGGCGTGCTTTACGACAAAACGTTAACGGAACACAGTCAAGGCTTCTTTATTTGCCAAAAAGAGACGAAAAAGTAACGGACAGATCATAATGAACAGACATGGTCAGACAGACGTAGAAATAAACAATTTTTGCCATGAAAGAAATATACGAGCACTACGAAACATAACATCCTCAAAAAACCAGGCCCTAACACCTCACCCCACCACCCGTACACAGACAAAAAGTTTTATAGTGAGGGACCAGACATCATTCATCGCCGGGGGGAAGGGATGGACTGGGGAGGATCTCATAGTTTTCAGGAGGAGCGGAGAGAGGGGATTAGTCGTCGTCAATTGGGCAATCAATTGCTAGTGAGAGGGAGTCATAAGAATTTTTCAGAGCCTAAGGGAGGAGTATCAAGTGAGTTTTATTGTGACATAACCAAAGTCCTCCTACTCTCCCTCGCCCCCCCCCCGCCGCTCTCTCCAGACGATAAAGAATTAACGGTCCCTGCTATTAGATTACTCACACGGGAACAAGTCCACGTGGTTAATTGTAAGGAGATGCGATGGAATGCGCTACTTCGCGACATGAATTGTACACGTCACCACTGTTAAAGTCCTATTGAGTGCGCCCAAAACATCTTGTTTTGAAGCGGTATTCGTCTCAGGGTTTACGATTCCTTGTAATGGCATAACGATCCTGACACGTGGACAAAATCTGTTTGCTTACTGTTTCGAATTAGTTACTTACAAGTCAATGCGAGCGACGATTTCTCAACAGAGGGAATCCTTTCCCATGGTGAACTCCGTCAGCGGCAACCTCAGCATTTTCCTTAGTTGGGAGGTAAACGACGAATACTTGAATACTATTAGTCAATAATTTGTGCCAGTAGGAAGATATTTTGAATATATTCTATTAACAATATCAAATTTCTGTGCTTGTTTAATGGCTGACTTGGTATGTTTTCGACTTTTGTGGATTATAGTTTTTACATTTGGTGTTATATTTAGATCTTTTTTTTTTAAAGGACCGTTCATTTTTCACGAGGTGGAAAGGGGGGAGGGGAGCCGGTGAAAGAGATGCACCCTATATTGCACAGATGCTGCAATCAAACCATTTCAGCAACGTGGCAGGAAGCAGAATAATTACAAGCCTCAAGCTTGACGTTAGAGAAAATGTGTACTGCTTCCCGTGTCTTGTAGAGTATCTTCTGCTTAAATATTACGAAAGTGACTCACACAGCGCTAACAGCACAAGCGACAAGGAAGAGCTTGAAGAAAATTAGCAGTAATTTTTAATGTTTGACTTCATTATAGTTTGCAGGCCTTAGGAGCTTGCAGGTAGCTCGGGCTTTTCTGGTCGAGCTACCACTAAAAACACGATAATGAAAAGTAAGTAACTAAAAAGAAAGAAAACTTTGTTGGTTTAGCTAAGTTCCCTAGCTTAGCTTTAAAATGGTATTCTGTAGCCACAGAAATGTTTTCCAGTGCAGAAGGAACTTCTGTGTAGATTTGAAATCTACTTTGTGTATTTTGGTAGGGATATATATATTTTAAAATAGTACAACATTTTCAATCTTAAAGTAGTGCAGAAATATTTTGCGTGATCCCCCCTCTTCTCCCCCATTTTGTTTGCTACTCCCCCTTTCAGGCCATTTTTTTACGTAATTCCCCTAATCCCACCAGCCCCCCCCCCCAACTTGTAAAGAATAAACGGTCCCTAATGTCGGTTAATCATGAAAAAAGGGGAAAAAGTGTATGTTTCCTAAAATTAAAATGTTAGGTAGAAAATGTATATCCATGTTGCTTTTTAAAATTAAAAGTACGTGCATTGAAGCAAGACGGACACCAAAGCCATCCGAGTGAAAAGACAACGCGACATTTTTCCGTGGATATTAATAAGAAAACTCGAAGAAAAATTGTATAATAGAATACTTCAAGTGTGATCAAATCTGTTAAAAGGGAAGTTAATAAATCCGATGATGCCATAATGTGGCTACACATTTTGTGTAAGCCACACAAAAATGTTTACGTCATTGGGAAGTATGGTGACCGTTAGACGGTCTATGGTAGTCTAGGGTTAACTGAAAGGCCTTTGTTTAGCCGCATGAACTCTGAACAGATCAATCAGGTAGTGTTTTTGATAATCTTCTCTTAAAGCAAATAATCGTTGTAGTTTAGTTCAGTTGTTTCCGCGCCTTCGTATTGATCACTCAGCAAAAAGAAAACAAAGATCAAAAATAGGCATGTGTATGAATCTCTCCTATAGTTTTCGATCAAATATCGGTGCTTTAGTTTCTAGTTTAATTTCCTTTGCAACTGACTATGTGCTTTCGTCAAAATGATTTTGGAAACAATATCTCGCCCAGCAGCAGAGTTTACTTTGGGCGATCAGTTAGGTCTTGTCGTTATTTGCTTATGTAGAGTGTTTATCAACATAATTTCGCAAGACATTACCACGTATTTTAATCATTTTATACGAAACCATTATCTACCTTAATTCTTAGTTAATACTTCATATTCATAGAATGTTTAGTGTACGGCTTTCCCCGGTTATACAACAATTAGATGTAAAGGGAATATAGTAGTGGGTTACATATCTGACTGTTGTTAAATGAGAGCCCATGAAATATAACTTAATTAGAGTCGCGACGAGCCTCTACACTTCTTGAAAATCCCGAGAGCTGCACGCCGCTACATAACTGTATTACGTGAACTGTGACCTTACAGACCCTTACATTTTGTTATTGGTAGATGGTACAGCTCGAGGCTTGACTCTAAGTTCGATTACCAGCCCCTGTTCGAGAAGTGAACCCGCTCTCCTTTTGAGTGATGCTTCTACAACCCCTTCCGTTGATAGCTTTCAAATCACTGTTGTTTTGAAACGTCTTGAGGTAACCAAAAATTTAAAGACAGACGCTTCCGGTTTTTCTATTTTTTCTGAAATATATTCTGAAATATATTCTTTCGATCGCAGATTTTGTCGAGCGGGCTGTAACTGCAATAATGTAGCTCACAGAATTCTCTCTTGCTACAAGTTATAAGATGTACTCAGTCGGTTCACAGACAAATATGGAAACTGCACTGGAAATATTTTTCATACCAGCGAGTGATCAGAAGAAACCCTTCTCCTCGACCTTAGTTTTCCTAGAAAGAAGTCTCAAAATGTAGGCGTACATCGGGCTAAAAACCAAATCGGTGCATAGTTTATACACCAATAAGGTCACGTACCGTTTGCCTCAAAGCTACGGGTATCTCTGTTGCTTTCTCATCCACCAACATCTTGAAAACAACGCAAATCAATAAGTTTTATACGTGCTTGATGTTTTTTTTTTTGGGGGGGGGGAGAGGGGCATTTGTCTTGATCTTTGTGAAGGTAAACCCCTTGTTTTCGATGTTACTTTTAGGTATAACAATTCATGGCCTCTCCGATACCATTATTTCGTACTGCAGGAGCAACATTTCATTCTACGAGAGAGACAACTAATTATGCCCGGTTATGCAGGCTTCTGGTGGACGCCTGATCACTTGACTTGAGACAGACATTTGACAGGAGGCCTCCACCAGGGCAACTGTGCGTAGTTTTATGTGATCCTGGAGTTCAGAGATTACCAATGAAGCTAAAAAATAGGGGAATTATTGATCCTTTTCAATGGGTAAAATTGTACCCTACGATCAAAACCTAAGCTACATCGAGCAATTTTGACATCACCCTACTAATGCTTCTGCTGAGAAATATTTGTAATCTTGTTCCTCTGTCTACCGGCTGGGATGAACTTCCTCCTGCATCAGATACAACCCTTGAGGGAGATATCGTTCGCATCAAGTGCTATAGAAACACAGTTTATGGTCATGGCAGCCATGCCTCAGTTGATGACGCAACATTCCATCAATACTGGCAGGACATCAAAGCAGCTCTAGTGGGACTGGGAGGAAGAGATTACCAATCTGCCATTGATGATCTCGAGAATAAACCTATGGACCCAGCGATTGAAAAATATTACCGAGGTCTTCTTAAACAGTGTGTTAAGGATTAGGTTAGCACTAAGGATGGCTTAGATTTGCTCACTGAGAAGGTCGATAGGTTGCAACGGATTCTATTAATGAGAGGAACCAACCAACTGTTCAAAGTAAGGAAGCGACAAATTATGATTATTATTCAAATCTTTTTTGAAATCTTACCTTTGTTTTTTTTTTCCATGAAAAAACATTTCAGAAAGCTGAGGTTAACTATCAGGTGTTGATGTTGTACTCCTCTTTCCTCGACAGCAGTGAACAATTTAATCATTACTCAGCAGGTGCGATACTGAACATGTCTGGATTAATAATATTCAATAATTAATACTAATAATAATATTGTATAATTAATACTGAATTAATAATTCAGTAACCTTTCAGTTTCCTAGCAACCCTAGTCGATATATGAAACTGAGTACTTTTATTTTAATTTTTGTTTTTGTTTACTTGTTACACAGTGATGATAATTATTGGTTACATAAACTTACGTCTAATCACATTACTGCTTTAGTTGACTCACGGTGAAACAGATAGTCCTTTCAGAGCAAACGTATCAGTAGAACCACGTCGCGCAATCCGAGATGATATCGAAGAAAACGTGTCCAATTAATGATGAAAGATAGAAGACTTTACAGGCTCGGAATCGCTATCAATCTCTTGCTCTAAAACAGCTGTTGAAAATTTATAATGCTACCTAGAGTTAGCTTATGTAATCATTTAATCTGAAGCATATGTAATAGATAAATCTTTGTTGGCTGTAAGTGACAGCTTGCTCTGAACTAAGGTAAGCTCTCCCCTTCGTTCACCCGAAGAAAATCGTAACAATTCTGATCTGGCGTCATCGTTTTCTTCATGCTCCTCTTCGTTAACCAGAGGTAATATAGATTTCGTAAGTGATCCCTTTAGAAACCTCCCCTTTAACAAAAAGCCAATCAATATTGACCAATTTACATTTTTTTCATCACTTTGGAAGTTTTTTTCAAAAGATTAATATTTTGACATTAATCTCACTGTTATAGAAAAGTTGGGTCTTGATATTCATTTCTAATAGTCCTAATATCTTGAGCCCTTTGAAGTAACCTTTGTAAACAGTACCTACCGTCTACTGAACTTGTGGAAATCCTACAGTAAGACATCGAAAGAAAACAAAGCGAAGCTGACGTGAGCTTTATAATAAAACGCCTTCCTTTTCTTTTTCAGTTATTTTTGTTTTAATATTTGAAAAAAAAAAAAACTCTGTAGTAGCGTGTCGACTGGTATGTTGCTTGCACCAATCAGATCGCCCCCTTAGTTCTTAGCTTATACTTAATATTCATAGATTTCTCAGTTTACGGCTTTCAACGGTTATGCACTAGTAAGATTTTAATAAAGAAGTGTGTTTTATATCTGACTATTATTAAATATTAGCCTATAAAAATAGAAACGGGCTTCTACACTACTTAACTGTATCAAGTGAACTGCGACCTTCAATATTGTCATGAGTTGAAATGAGGCTTGAGGCCTGACTCTAAGTTCTATTACCAGCAATTGTTTGAGAAAAAAGCCCGCTCTACTCTTTTTGAGTAACACTGGCTAGGCAAGTCTCTACAACCCCTTCCGTTGAGACTCGGTCAAATCACTGTTGTTTTGGAACGTCTTGAGGCAACCAAAAATGGAATGGCAGAAGCTTGTTACACATTTGCCGTCTGTAGCGAAAGGATGGGTTTCTTTAAGATTTGTTTCCAGTTCTTCTCTTTTTTCTGCCATTGCCATTCTCGAAAGAATTGTACCTACTCAAACCGCCACAGTGATCGTTGGAAACTCTTTACAGAAACGGGCGTTACGTGACAGTGGTACACAACATATTAGCTTCCAGTCCTCCTTTAGCTTACCGGTTTTGGTACCCAGTCTGCCGCAACAAGCTGTAATGTTTTGGATAATTTTGAAGAGTTCCCTTTGAACCAGTATCTGCAGATCGATGGCAAAATTTCCAGTCAAATTGTACGTTTATGACCTCTCTAGAGGTATGGCAAAACAGCTGTCACCTCTTATACTTGGTAAGTTCGATGATACTCGAAGACTGCTTATTTTGCAAGGGACATCTCAGCTGAAACATTTTTCAATTTTATGTTTCGCCTTTACATTGTGACTCAGCAAAGATGCGGCGACTGACAAACGCTAACTCTTTTGTGATAAAAGCTCAGAGTTGCTTTGTTTTAAAATTCAGGGGATATCTTAAGGGAAAATGAAACATTTTTTTTCCGTCTACGTCTTTTTTAATTACACCATAACAGTCAGTTCTATCCATTCAGTATACAGCTGTAAAACCAACCTAAGCCAGCTGATGACTGATTATTTTTTCTGTACTTGTATCCATAGGCAAGCAAATAGATGGAATTTGGTATGTGCCTATTTTTATCTTAATAGAATTGGGAGATTTTGTTTTAACCTGGAATATTTTTAAGATCTAACTGTAATGTGTGCTCAGCCATTCGCATCTGTCGTATGATTATGATCTAAAAACTTCGAGGTTACATGTACCTCCATTATCATGACGTAACTATGCGTAGCGGGCTTTGAAAGGCAATGAACAAGGTACAGTGTTTGGTTGAAATGCTTCGACCAGAATTAGTCAGTTGAAGCATTGTAGTCATTGTTTAATTACCTTTTCCAATTTTGTATAAGTTCTAATATCACTACGATCCGAACACTAATTCTCCTAACAGTTGGCAGTACATCATCAAATTGATTTTGGCTATTCCTGAGAATTTGTTGCAAATCAGGACATCATGTTGATAATTGGTGAGATTGCTTTGGTATGATCTCAGAACCTCATAATAGATATGACTGTACTCTCATTTTCTAATTACAAGTGATCACATGTAAGTGTTTTTTGTTTACAAATAAGATTTATTTTGTTTGATTCAGGAACAATTGTAGACTTAAATTGTTGTATTATTTCTTGTTCTTTACTTTGTTTGTTTTTTTTAGGCATACAGGGGTGGTTTGTTTTGATAGAGAGTTTTTTTATGGCGGTGATGGAATAAATAGTTGCCTACCGGTATGCAATGTTACAAACTTTTTTCTTACAAATTCTAGAAACATGTAAGGTATTGAAGTGATTCTGGCTTCTTGGTTCAACTCTGAAATCTCAACAAGACATGGTTGAATTACTGGGAGTGTGGCTATAACAATTTTCAATTGTCTGCAGCAGTAGATCCAATAAAAGTGTAAAGATTTCAGATATTAAATAATCAATTATGTTTCCTATAATTCTTGTTAATATAATTTATAAACCTGTAACTCAGCCTTCTCTGCAAGAGGTTTGAATAAACGTTATTATTATTATTATAATTATTATTATTTTTATTCAATTTCAGTTGAACCATCAGGTCACATCCTTTATGGTTCATATTTACTCTGTATCTAGATAATGACTGTCACAATAGATTTCCCCTTAAATTTACTGAATGATTGAAAAGTGGTTAGTTAATACTGGTTCAAAATGATTTCTTTATCTTGTTAGGGTGGAACAGTACTTGGTAGTCCAGATGAGGTTGTTGATCTTGGTGATACAGAGATAACTCAAGATCTTTTTATTGATTTTTTAAGTGCAGTTGGACAACAAGATTTTAGGTAAATTCAGACTGCCTATTTTTTGTAATGTTTTAAAATAAATTTACAAGTAAATTGTGATTAGCAAGTTAAGGTATGGACTGAAATCATTTAACACAATTTTGGTTTTAAATTCATTATCAGAGGAGAAAATTATAACTTGTTTGAACACAACTGCAACACCTTTTCATCAGAAGTGGCCACGTTCCTGACTGGGAATAAGATACCACAACATATTCAAGACCTTCCCTCAGAGGTTCTGAACAGGTAATACAGTGACACAATAATTAAAAATAACAGCAACAGAGAAGTCATTTACACTGTATGCTGCTGAACAAAAATGCCCGGTATCAACGCTGTCGAGACGAAGACAGGTGCATAACTTTTCGAATAGCGTCACATTAATTCCTTTCATCAAGGCAAATTACTTTCCTTTTAAAATGAACACTTTTGATTGTAGTGAGGTTAGCAACTCGCTTGCATGATCGTTTAACGAGAGGTACCAAGACTCTGGACTCTTCTCTTTTTATTCTTTCCTCGAGAGCTTCTACAGCTTCGACCACCCTGCTTCAGATCTTTTCTTCTCTCTCTTTTTCCTTCTACTCTAGCGAGAGGTACCCTCGTTTTAAGTAGGAAAACAGTCAGACATGTTTGGGTTAGCTGACCGTGAGAGTTTCCTTAGTGTATCCTTTTATTTTACAAACAAGGGGGAAACTGGTTGGCCCTCA